ACTCCACATATAACATAAAGAGGTAACTAGATACAAGAGACGAGTAATTGAATTGTCTTTTTATTGAGAAAGGAAGAGTAATATGAATTGTTGATTTGGTACTATAGTAATGAAAAGATAACGTTTTGTAAACGAAAGAAAAATTCCAAGAAAACATATCAGACATAATCTTTCTTGTTTCAAAATTATATGAATGTCTTCTTTTGTCTTGTAAGTTTGTAGTTTTGAAGGTTTAACATTATTTTATTGATTTGGTCTTCCAATGAGAGAAGAGACGTTTACTTTGAGATCGGCACAAGGATATCTGGCTGTCGTTGTAGGAGGACTACATAAGAAAATTATTTCTCAATTGCTTACAACATTTGCTTCTTTTTTACTCATACCTAACCGTAAATACACAAATATATTTCATACTTTATTTACAGTAATGTTTTTTAAAAAATGTTTACGTTTGATTACAATATTTTTGATGGAAGGTCATTTGTAAATCGTAAAAATCAACATGAATTACACACAAAATTCCTCATTTGATAAACAATTCGTATTTGTGTCTACAAGTTGCAATGAACTTTCTTTTGATTAAAAACATAAGTTGTCGTGGCTTAATTTAAAATTAATCACGTTATCTTGACTTATAAACATAACTAATACTAACTAGTTACTACACATTAATTAACTGACAAATGACAAAGGGTAGTGAAAAAAGTTTTTCTTCTGAAAAAAAAAAACAAAAACGAAGAAAATGTCAGTTTAGAATCACTGGTTCAATTTTAGGCATTTAACCATACCAGTAATCACACAAACATATTTTTGGTACAAAGCCAGATCCGGTTAAGGAACCATGGGGTTACAGTGGAACAAACAACAAACAAACATCTTCTATTGAAAAGGATTTCGCAATTCCAGAGAAATACATATTCATTTGTGGTCATATAACCCGAATAACACATTGAAAAAGATCCGAGAGCTGATGCAAACTCAAGGAGGCACATGTTCTCTGAACCAAGTATGGTAGCTTGTGCATTACTATCAGATCTCGCCAGTTCCAAGAGGTTGCCTTGAAGTGTCTCCAGAAGCCCATGCTTGATAGTCTTTTGAGAGCTGCAAAAACGAGTAAAAGAGCAATATAAGATTATGTTCGGACGATTTTGCAGGAAATGGATTCGAGTAGCTATTCATATTAGCAAAAGGTAAAGCACATTAATATGAAGAATCATAGTCTTATCTCTGTAACTTAATAAAAAAGATTAATCTACTTCGACTAGCTGCATCACATGTTTGAGGATCAACAAGCCAGTTTTGCGGTGGAAACCATAGAAGCTTATTATGTTAATCTGACACCTAGGTCCTGGTTCAACATGTGCTTTACCAACATCATTAAAGCCCAAACACAAGTAATATTGCCTCATCAAGCAACTCAACTATGAAAGACCTCAATAGGAAAACTCAGATGCGAGACTAATCTGCACCTAAGCCAGTGATAAAATTCTCTGGTGAGAAGAAATGAAATCAGGATGATCTTGCGGTTTAACAACATAGTGCCACAGAGAGATTAAGGATAGCTGCTTAAAGGGCTTTGTTGTTGGAACATAAGTGATTAAAAGGTAACAATACACATAAGTTTTCCCACATACCTGAGACAAAAATCGTGGTAGCATGAGTTTAAGAATTTGATCAAGAACTTGTGTCCCTGTCGCCTCTATTGCTCCCACTGGGAAAACTCTAAACGCAAAAGGTATCTCGATATTGACCTACAATACGATTACCAAATACGTCAGAAATACCACAGTGATGCACTGATCAAGCAAAGAAGATGAAGCACTTAGCCTAACCTCAATGACTGCATCTGAAGTAATTTGTTGCTCTGATGACCCCTCCCGAATGCTGTCACATGATACCCGGTTCACCATAGAAGCTGCATGACTAGAAAATAACAAATGTTAAGCTCGTACAACATTATTGATCACTTTCACACAAAGTAATTACAACATGGTCATACTTTTTGAAATGTGTTTAACAAATAGAATCATATACAGGGATATATGCTTACCATCAAATTTGTCATTTTGAGCAACCACAACAGGAGATCCTTCAAGCTATACAGCACAAGACAATGAACAAACCATCACGATCTTAACAAGTACAGAGTTAATTTGATCTAAACAAAATTTCTTCTCTTTGTTTACAAATTCAATCATTCTTCCATAAGAACAAACGAAGGTTACCTTGCAGGACAAGAGCTTGATGCAGCAACCATTAGGCTGTTCTTCAACTCTCACAAGCAAAACAGGACAGACTTCAAAGTTGAAGAACTTAAACGTATACACATAGCATCGAAACGTGTTATCATCAACTCTCTCAATCCTCTCTGCATCAAGCACTGAGTACTGACTTGCAGGTAAGCTCATATACTCGACTACATGAAACAAGAAAACCAAATCAGAAATCAAACACTCCGATTTCAGATTTAAGCGAAATGATAATCGGAGAATCGAGCTGAGGTTACTTAGAGGTCGTTGGAGCTGGCGAACGGACACGGATTGTTTCTGACGAGCGACGAATCGAGCTTTAGGGGAAGAACTCGAGGAGACGCGAATAGGTGGAGTAGTAGAAGAAGAGGCGAGAGAAGGTTTAGGTGGTTCGTCAAAGGATGATGATGAGCAAGTTATGGCGAAGGAAAGAGATGGATTTTTAGGGTTTCGATTCGTCTTCTTCTTCGTTGAGAACGATAGGGAGGTCGGTTTAAGAGTAGCTGAGCTCAACGCCATAGCTGAAACGACGGCGTTTAAAGGATGAGAGATGTTTTAACGACTAAACGGCTCAGCTTAACACAGAAT